TTATTTATTTTTGGTACTGGGGATTGAACTCGGGTCCTTGTGTCTGCGCAGCAGGCGGCGAAACCACTGAGCTAAATCCCCGGCCCAGGATCTTGTACCTTTACATGAGTATCTTGGTTCTTATTTTTTCTCTATTCCTCTGCCCTCCCTTCACCCCCTCCACCGTTCCCTATTTACAAAGACTTTGTTTCCATTTTTTCCTTTTCTCATATTTTGTCTCTTCCTCTTTTCCTCACACTTCCCCTATTCCTTTCAGACATTTTCTTCCTATTTCACAATATCAATTATACATTGATTCTTATTTACATATTTTTTCACACCAGAGAAACTATTCGGTATTTACACATATGTGTCCTATTTATTTCATTAAGAGTATGGCCTCAATGTACACCCACTTAGCTATAAATGTCTCTAGTTTCTCGTTCTTTATGGCTGAGTAGTAGTCCATTTTATAAAAAAACCCCACATTTTCTTTATCCAGTCTCCAGTTGATTGGCACTTGGGCTGTTTCCAAGTTTTAGCTATTACAAACTGTGCCGCTATGAACATGGGTGTGGATATATCACTGTGGTATGATTGTTTTAATTCTTTGGGGAAGATACCCAGTAGGGGAATAGCTGGGTCAAATGTGACTTCCAATCCTAGATGTTTGAGGTATCTCCACACTGATTTCCACAGTGGTTGCACCAGTCTAGCAGGGTCATAATTTTAAAAGCCTGACGCATAAGGACCTGAACCATTCCTGGGATCCTCTCTTCCCAAGGATGTTGGAGATTACAGACCCCAACAGTACAGTTGTTTCTGCACCCAAACCTTTCCAGGGAATCAACCTAGAGAGGGGGGTGGCAGCCAGGGCCAGGGGTGTCTCAACTCTGGGCAGCAGGGGATGCCAGCAGCCATGCCTATCACTGCCAGGAGCCTGGTTTGTTTGGGGAGAGGGTTTGAAGTGGAGCTTAGCCTATCTGGCATGAGGGTTTTATGAAGGAAGTGCAATTTTTTTTTTTTCTGGCATGGGCAATCGAACTTAGGACTTTGTACTTGTAAGGCAGGTGCGGTTCCACTGGGCTAAATGCCCGACCCTAAAGTGCAATTCTAATTAGCCAGTGGTAGTGTCCAAACCTGGCCAGAGCCACTGTTCAGCCTATGTTAGGGAGTCATTTGCTCTGGGTGTGTGTGTGTTTGAGACAAGGTCTTGCTATGTAGCCCAGGCTGGCCTTGAGCTCACTATGGAGCCCAGGCTAGCCTCAAACTCGTGGTGATCCTCCTGCCTCAGCCTCCCGAGAGCTGGGATTACAGGTGTGTGCTACCACGCCTGGCTCTCATTTGCCTATTGGAAGAGGGCCGTAGAGAGCCTACTTCCTTCCTGCCAAGTGTGGTGGCATGCAGGAGGCAGGAACAGCTCAGCCTAGGCTTTGAGTCCAGGTGTGAGGACAGAACCACCTGTCTCCTGACCCCAGTGTGTGTCACCTGTGTGTGAGCAAATGAATGTCTGAGGCCGTCGACTATGCCACCAAGCCCCACCCGCTCTCGCCCCAGCAAACACACGCAGGCTCCAACCCCAAATCGATCCTAGGTATTGGGGGATCCACAGACAAAAGAGCAACCACAAAGAAAATAAATAATGCTCGGCACTTGCTGTAAAACCTAACTTCCCAGAAACCATGCAGAGTTTTGCTTTAGTTTTTCCCCTCTAGACTTCTAGCCATTGTCTCAAGAAACACTTGGGTTACAGTCAGCTAACCAAACGCCTGGCTGGACCAGCGGGCCCCACATCCTGCCTCTTAAAAACGAATTCCTCACCTCGATGCCGAGGGCCTACCCCAAGAAGCAACAGGAGAAGTGGCCTGAATGGGCTCCGCGTGGCACTTGTGCCTGGCTGTGGGAATTAATCTCCACATTGAGAAGCCTCTATTGATCCTTCATACCAGAAATATATCCACATTATAAACGCAAAGAGGCGAAATGAAGCTGTCCAGTAACTAACAAGGCCAAGCAAGGGGCTCGTGTGGAAGCGGATAACGGGAATGTGGTCCACGACACAGCAGCACAGCGACTGCTCAGGGGACCGACAGGAGGGACAAAGTCACCCAGCCCTGCCTGGCCTGGCTCCCTCGGCCTTGGAAGAAGGCTGGGTAAGTGCCTCTCTGACACGGGACAATAAGGCATTTGGGAAAGATGGCTTCAGGCCAAGTGTCCCCAGCACGTGCGTGACATGTCCCTGGCCTCATCTTTCCCACGTAATAACAGGATGCCTGTGGTGAGTTTTCACTCACTCACAGCTGCCAAGCTCGACCCTCAGCCAGACTCTTCCTGGGGACACAGAACAAGTAAGTTGTCTTCCTCATCCTCAAATTCTTACCATACCAGGACCCCCATGGAGTGATGTCAGGACAGGAAGCTTTGGGGACAGGCAAGAGGAACCGCCACCTATGACTGCATGGGGGATTCAGGAAGAGAGGGGCAGTGAGCAGCATGAGGGACAGCATGAGGTTCGGGGGCCCAGAGATGACTGTGGAGCACATTGTACCCTCAGGACAGGCTGCTGTCCCGACTCTGAGGAGGACAGGCCCAGCTGCACAGATGTGTGTAAAACCTAAAAAAAAGGAATACCCCATGCACCTTACTATTATCAGACCTTAGTACTTCGTACTAAGTTCTGAGTACTTGGGAAATAGTTATTGTTTAGTGTTATTAATTTAACTGTGGTTTCTCTGGAGCAGTTGATGAAAACAGGGTCTCAGATCTGTCCTCAAGGATGAGGTCTAAGTGCATGTGAAGAAAAAGCTCAGGCTTCCAGAGAAGGACTCTGCCCCTCTAACCGGAAATAAGCAGAAGCAGGCTGAGTGTGAGTGTGTGTGTGTGTGTTCCATTTCACACTTTGGGGGAGAGGTGAAAAGGAAGGACGAAGACATTGAAAGATCTCTGCCACTAACCAGTCTGATCTTCCTTTCCTACCGAACAGCTCGAGAAGTCTGATCGACACCCTCCCGGACGGCGGCTTTCTGTGTCTGTCCCCTTCCTTTCTCCTGAAACCTTTCTCATCATGGTGGCCGTGACCAGCTGGTAGACCGTTCCAGGGGGCAGCATTTGTGTCTGTGTGACATGTCTGTGCCACTGGGGGGATCTCTTGATCTCTACACTGCTGACCCACGGGCAGGGCTCAGGGCCCGGCCACAGTGCTGTCACTGGGTGCCCCTCAGGGTCTGCCCTCACTCCTCCCACTGGACACGCACTTCCGGGAGTCTCGACTGCCAATTAGAGGTGGTCCGAGAGTGGTCTTGGCCCTGCTGTGTCCAGGACTCCAGACCTGCTCCTCCGGCCACTGACCTGCCATTCCCCGGGGTGTCCCGTAGCCCCTCAGATCCAACCCATCAAGCCAACTCCTTTTCCCAGCCCAGCAACCCCTTCTGTATTTCTGTCCCCAAATGTCACAACACCCAAGCCCGAACTTCCTGACAGTCCCTGGACTCCCCCTGACGATCTCCCTCCTCATCCTCTGTCCTTGCCACACTCCCCTCCCAGCGACAGCTGGCTCCTAGCGAGCTGTCCCTCCTCACCTTCGCAGAGCCGTCTACTTCATGCCCACAAGACTCCCCGAGAGGCTTAGTGACACAGGTGGCACTGCACCGTGAGGTCATTAGCTAGCGTGGCTGTCTGTTCCAAGGCACACCCGCGGCAGGAGAGGGCAGAGCGAGTCCAAGCAGCAGCCTAGCAAGCACTCAGTACATCGCATAGAAGAGCTGGGGGCCGCCCACACCCCCTGATTATGAACTAGCTGTGGATGGGGCCCCAGGCATCTCCTTAGAAATCTGGGTTCTATGTGACATAAGAATGTCAGAAGCAGGTAAGGGTGTGACAACAGCATTTCCAACAGTGTCATCCGCCCAAGCGCTGCCTGCCAATGTCTGGCCTGAGTCTGTCACTATGCTAATGTGGAAACAACAAGCCCCTTCCTTAAACAGGTAGAGAGGCCGGGGTCCTAGGGCAGGGTGGCCAAGCATCGGGGGTTCTGGAATAAGCACCTGACCGCAGAACAGGCAGTGCTTCCTGTCTCCAAGAATGCAGTGAACAAACTCACGGTGGCTTTGCTGTGGGCCAGTCCCTGCCATCACACACTGGATGTCTTTTCTTTCTCCCATCCCACGGAGACAGGGGGGACAGCATTTTTGAGGAGCTGGTGTTATTCTAGGTGTGACTGTGGGACACGGACCATGACCGACTTATCAAAGGGCAGCTGGCACGCCGTGGCACCTCGGGCTACCCGAACTACTTTGCTGCCTGGCTCCACATCGACGGAGCCTACAGCTGCAGGGGACCCAGCAACAGAGACTCAATGTTCCTATCTCAGGAGGGCATAGATGAGTTCCTGAGGATGCACCGGAAATCAGAAAGGGCAAAGCATTCTTGCACCAAGATACTTAGCAATCTACTCCTCATGCAAAATATTTTCTGTAGTTTCTAACAGACAAGGGAATAAACTGGCCTTTGGGGTGGTCCCCCAAAACAGAACAGTTTCTTAGATTAAAAATGACCACAATCACTGTTAGCCAAGCTGCTCGGCAAAGGAGTTAGCAGGAAATGATGAACAACAAAGCCTCAGCTCACTGAGTGTGCAGTTCACACGGAGAGCCCACCTTAACCAGCCCTGCTCGTCTGTCCACCCAGAGGTTTTAAAAGAAATTCTCTGAATATATATAACATAGCTATGGGCCATGCATTAATATAACTTTACAGAGTGTATATAAATTACACACCCCCTTTGTGAATAAGTTAAAATTCCATGCCATTAACATGTTTGTGTTCACTCAACTCGCTTCACCTTGCCAAGCTCAGTATTTGGCCCATGCTAAAGCTCCCTGGGTTACTGGGAAGGGGTCACTCCGCTCTGAGGCTGCCAACAGCTATGGAATCTCTGGACCTTACGTGAGTTCATACAGTCACCATGTCCTCAAAACAACACTTGTTACCAGGATGCCATCACCAGGCAAGATAAGGAGAGAAGCCGAGCAGAAAGCAGACAAGAAGGGACAGTGGCACCAAAACTATCTGTCACAACGCAATAAGCTGCTTTCAGCATTTCCCATTTTGGAGGTGGTTCCTATCCGAGGCACAGGGACTCACGCTGTTAAGTCAGTCTAAAGTTAGTCTCCATATCGCTGGCTCTGCCTGCCCGCCCAATGCTTTTGCCCCCGTCTTAGGAACTTGGGGTGTACCTGTTGAGTTTTACCACTCAGGCAGGGGTAGCTATTAGCAAAAGCAGACCCTCTGGCTAGAGGGAGAGAGGGAAGCACTCTTGCATGTCCCCTGACCTGCTCTTTCTTTTATAATTTTTACTTAATTCCTCACCTGTCTCCTTGCAAATGGACACCAAAGGTGCACTTGACCTCATCAGAGGCCTGGGTTGGCCGGTGTCAGGATCCAAAGAAGCATGGAGAACCAGGAACCTCACTTCAAAATCACTTCCTGTTTTCTAAGGAAGCCATGAGAGCTTATCTAGAACCTGCTAAGGACGCTCTCCTCTGGGAATGTTTTGTGGCCCACTTTGCCACGCTGAAGGTAGAAATGCGCCCTCATCCACTGAGAACTTACCCTTTCCAGAGACTTCAGGAGGTTTTGTCTTTCTTTGAGCTTCTGAATACTGATGACGATTTTGTGTCTCGCGCCTTTGGTAACATTCTGTAATTAAACACAAGTTATGTTTCCAAACACCCTTTCAAGGACCAGCTCAGAGACCCTCTCAGTGGCTACAAGGGACTTTATCCTTTCTGCTACGAGTGCTGGCAGGCTGGCCAGTATGCATCTGTCTCTCTCGCTTGCTACCCACTGTCACAGACCTCTTGCTGTATTCTCTATCTGGCTGAAGGTTTGCCTGTGACTTTTGGGACAGTGAGCTGCAGAAGAGCCAGCTGCCCCCCACCCCCAGCATGACACTTCTTCAGGCTCTTAAGAGAATTTAGGGTCACACACCTCTCCTTCCACCTCCATCATTTCAGCCCCTCTTGGGTCCCCTCAAACCTTTCCTTTTTACACATCTTCAGGAAATATGAAGCCCAGTACGGTCTACATGTGGTGTCATAAGAAAAGTTCTCTTAACAGCCCTCTTTTGTTTCCATAAGGAAAACCAGAATAGAAAATTAATTTCAGGCCGTAATTCACTCATCAGTTTGGATTAAGGTTAGAATTCACAGTAGAGAGCTGTGAATTTTATCTGAACTATGAGCCTAAGGATTCCAGTAGACCTTTGTCGGCTGCAAACACTGCCAATTCCCTAGTAGAAGGTCCTTTTTCTAATCAGGCTTCTGATACAAACTTCTGGGGCACCTTTTGCAACTATTGCATATAAGTTTTTACTTTTTTTTTTTTTGGTACCGGGGATCGAACTCGGGTCCTCGCGCTTGCACAGCAGGCGGTGAAACCACTGAGCTAAATCCCCGGCCCTGCATATAATTTTTTAAATGGGAGGAAGTACAACAGCAACATCTCCTTTAATCAGAATAATTAAGTCTCAAGCAATGAATGAGTCCACTCTTTAAAATGAAATCCTGCATTTCTGTTTCACCTTAACTGTGGGATCAAATGAATTAACTACTCTGAAAAGTTGGTGCCAGCCTCTGGCTTTGGCCTCTGTGTGCCTCATTTCTTCTCAAGTTGAACAACTGATGACTTAGATGTTTTTTCCCTCAACTCTGACCCAAACACAAACATGCTCTTAAGAATGGTTCTCATCAATCCCTGAGATCTCAAGAAGTGACCGAGATCCAAAACGCAGTGGGAGCAATGTCAGGAAGTTGAAATTAGTGCCTTTCATTCTCTGAGAATGTGCAGTGACTTCGGGCTTTGTCTTGCTCTCAATGCTGGTATTCAGCCAGGCCCACAGAGGTTAATCGAGGGTACTGAGTCAGCAAGGAGAAACCAGAGCTCAGAGGCCAGCAGGCGTCGGAGCAGCCACACCCCAGTGGTACCCTTCCTGCGGGGGAAGTATTATTAGCCCATGCTGACCACCAGTTGTTTAAAATCACTGCTCAAAGGAAACCGAGGTCAACTTGAAACATGCAAATAGCATTTTAAACAAGGGATAAGAGGGTGGTGGTCAGCTCTATTGACTTGAGTTCAGAATGGTAAGAGAACTGCTTAACTCTGGGGGTTTTGTAGACTTGGCCTTCGACATCACGCTTGGGAAAGATGCCTCAGAAGGGAGGAGGAACTTTGTCCTTTTGTGGCACGCAGCAGGGAAGGGAAGTCTGAGACTTAGGGAGATCTCATTTTTTTTTGGTACCGAGGATTGAACTCGGGTCCTTGGGCTTGTGCAGCAGGCAGAAAAACCACTGAGCTAAATCCCCAGCCTGGAGATCTCATTCTTAATCGCTGGTATATGTTATTCAAGGTGGCTAGAAGAAAAATATTTTAAACAATTGACTACAATCTCAATTAAGTGTTTGTAGCACCTCCAGGATCAGTCCAGTTAGAAGTTAACTGTTAGTGACCAGACTGGGCAACAGACAGCAGAGTGGTCCCTACTTAAACAAGTCCTGGGGGGAGGGTGACAGAGGTGGCGAGCCGAGAGTGACAAAGCAGAGACCCTGACTCTCTGGGCCGCTGGCTCAACACCACTTCTCCCAGGAGAATCCGAGGATGCCTCCCTGGTACCCTGGAACGTGGAGTGTGCTTGGACTGGGTCTCATCCTAACGCTCGCTACCCCCAGCCTCTTCCCTGAGGTCGCTTGCGTGGCCTCCATCTGCTATGGGACCCGCAGGCAGGCGCCCAGCCTCACCCCCTCTGATGCTCCCAGCACCTGCCGGTCCCTAGAGTATGGTGGGCACAGAGGGCCACAAAGCCTGACGCACCTGAGCCTCCAGCTGGCACTCGGTGAGGGCCATCATCTCCTCGTAGGTCATCTGGGAGAACAATGCGGCGTACTTGTGCAGGCGCAGGCTCTTCAACCAGGCTGGAACATCTAGGATGCAAGATGCGCGAGGGTGGGAAGAAGAGAGAAATGAAGGGGATGGAAGGAGTGACAAAAGGTGCAGGGAAGATGAGACAGAGGGAGCAAGGGAGGAAGGAAGAGGGTGATGGTTGCGAGAAAAGAGGAAAAAAAATCTTTATGTTACTGTTTGTTTAACTTTGGCAGCACACGATGGGTGGTGCACAAGTCTCGGGCTGACCCTGACCACCTCATGGGTGGGCTTTTATCCTACTTCAGACCAGGGGCTGTTAACTTGGGGTCCGTGGGCTTGTGGAGTTTGCCGGGCAAGGGTTACCCATAGCTTCTGAAAGGAGCCCAAAGAAGCGCATGCCTAAAAAAGCTGGGCGGGATCAATTCCTTGTTGATTTGGAAAGAACTGACTCAGATGTTCAACTAGACACACTGAGTCTATAGCTCAGGTTTGGGCCAGGCCTCTATGCGCTGTTCCGGCCACTTCCACAGAGACAAGAAAGCAGGGGCACAGTCGTACCCCACCAGCGGAGGCACTGGAATTCCTAGCCTGAACTTTGTTCTGCCTTCCAACACCCCAGTGGGTTGAAGGGCGCCCGGACCCCAGTGCTAGCACTTTCGTAGGGTGTCTGTTTGGTCACTTCTGCGAGCAACGGAATGTATCTGATGATTTTTGACCTTTTCCTTGAACGTCAATAAAAATATACCACAACTTGGAAGATCCAAAGATTGGTCAAACCAAGCGATAATGGAAATTCCAAAGCACATCTGAAATAAACCCCAAGATTCTAGAGTTAAGAAAGTTAAAAGGTAACTGTACTTGAAAATCCACAGAATTATTACCTTGCTATGTACAAACAGAACAAAGCCTTTGGCCATAATCTTTTAAGTCAGCATTTTGGAGTTGTAGAATCTTTGAAAAATTTCCTGAATCATCTCATACTTCTATTTTAGAGATGGCAAACATTGTCACGAAGCCTAGATCTCAGGGCAATTAGGTGGTGAATGCAGTCTAGAACAGGCTCTTTCCTACACTGTATCAATTTTCATAAAAAAAAAAAAAAAAAAAGGACCAAACAGAGCAAGACTGCAAAAAGCACTTTGAAATGTTAAGGAATTGGGTGTTGTGCACGTTTTCTATTAAGTATTATCTGTTCAGTACTAACCGGGTTGATTGCAAGATTCCATGTTATTGATTGCTAAGTGTTTTATTCTAAGGCACTGATGAACCACACACATTTGAAAACAGGAGAGAACCTTCTGATTTTTCAATGTTGAGAAGAAAGACACCCGACCAACGCTGAACTCAGGCTCTGCCTCCTGGATTAGGGAATGACCCGAAGAGCCAAGATACAGGAGGGGATGTGGCCTGCTGGGGTTCTTTTGTGAAGAGCAACGGAGGAGAATTTCCAGAGAATTAGAATTAGACATCGGATGGCATTTTAAGAACAGACTGAGTTATTTCGGGCTAGAAATCACTTCATTTTGTGCTTGGAAGCCCGTCAATCTACTGTGACAAAGGAGAGTCCCCTTGGAACCGTCATTAACCACAGACAAACCAAGCTTTCCAGGGACATGGTACCATCCCCTACAGGCTTGCAACTCAAATGCCACTGCATCAGGAGTCCGGGACACAGCAACTCCGGAGCCTGGTGCTTTCCCTCCTGTGACATCCTGGAGCGCGTCGGACCAGACTCTGCTCTCCACCATGTGTGCGTTTCTGTTGAAAGACCGCTAAGGCTGCTGCAGAGCCAGCAGCCGTGAAGCCCACGACAGCTCCAGCTCAGGCCAACTGCATGTTACCACTCTGTCACCGGGTTTCATGTGTGCTAGTCACATCTTTGAGAAGTCCCAGGTCACTGCTCAGAAAATGCAACCATCAGGAGTCAGAGGACGCCTGGGCAACCCAGGGCCACACTCGCGTATCACACGAGGCCACCGTGCCCACAAAAGAGCCAGGACCAACTTGACGGACCCAATTTTCACTGAATGCCCCACAGCTCAGACAAGAAATCATGGCAGATGGGTGCTTTCCAATCCAAGGTGACAACAGGGCGTCCCGAGTCAAGGAGGAGTAGTTCTCAGGGTGGCTCCTTCCTGTGTGACTCTTCTGATAGCTTGAGTTCCCCTGTGGAGAGGGACGGGAGAGCCTGGCTCACTTGTTTCATCAAAATGCAGGTCCCGGGAGCAGGCTTCCTGGGAAAGGCTCCATACAAGGCCACACCGGGCGTTAGGCCTTCTTCCACAGCTGCCTCTGGGCGCATTCCTGAGAGATGTAAGCTCCCCTGGCCTCTGTTCCCCAAGGCAGGCACAGGTGGCTGCTGCTGAGTGCCTGCTCAGGCCTCCTTGCCTAGGCGCTCTCCTTCCTGCAACTGGAACTGAAGAATGAAGCTTGCTAACCTTTCTCCCCTGCTTGGAGAGGCGCTTTCGCTTGTCAGGGACTGAAACAAAACTCCATCAAGAGGGAAGCAAACCAGACCACCCAGAGCCCTGACTGTGTCACCTCAAGCCAGGAATCCCAATGACTCGGATGCTAGGTTCGGTAAGAGGTCGGCAGGGATGAGCTTGGACAGCTCAGGTCCTTTCCTGTGGCCCACCTGCCACCCCACTGGAAGCAGTGTTAAAAGGCACCACCAACTTCAACCTCCGATCCCCTGTCCCGGTCTATGGAGGCAAATGGGAGAGGCTGGGAGGGAAATGAAGGCACATGTATGTCCAGGGCTCCCACCTCTGGCAGGTGGGTACACAGCTGGATATACTAGTGGAGGCCTCAGAGCTGAAAGTCACTCTCATGGAGGGTGAGAAAGGGAAAGATGTTTGGCTACAGCCAGGCTGAACTCCTTGCTGGGTGACAGGGTGCGTTCTATGGGGGCCAGGTTTGGGGAAGGCGCATTCTTGCCAGCAGGGAGCTTTTAATCCAGAAAATATTGCTGGCTCACACATGTAAAGGACAGTGGCTGCAGCCTGGGTGCTGAGTATACTCAGCATTCCAGGGGAGCAGCGAAGAATGAGCATTTGGGGCTGCCATAGGGAGTGAGGGACAGCTTCCTGTAACCTGCTGCCAAGAGTAGCAGCAATTTGGAGTTCCCTGGGAAGACCAAGGAAGCCATCCCAGGAAGCAGAAGCAGTGGGAACAAAGCACAGAGCCAGAGCACGCTGGGCAGAGCAAGTGGTTGGGGGAACAGTGGGGAATGGCTAAAGATGAGGAACACACCGCAGGGGCAGCAGATGACTGAGATATGAGATATGAGCTTAGGGCTCGGGAGGGGCAACAGAGGAGAAGCAAAGGATATAACGTGATGGTACTGGATGATCAGGGAAGAGCAGGGTATGGGAGACAGCAAGGAGCAGAAGGTGGCTCCTTTGGTTCGGGTCTGGTGAGTCAGAACCCACAGGGGATCAGTGTTTTGATCACCTGAGTGTCACTGCCTTTGGATCATGCAGGGGGAGGAGAGAACTGGTCAAGCTCTTGCAAGGGAAGTCTGAGCAGGAGAACAACTTGCCTTGTCAATAATGCACAGTGGCTGTTTTAGCCATGGAAATAGGTGAGATTACTCAAGGAAGAAATATCAAAATGAGATAAGGAAAGAGCCAAGGGGGGCCTGGGGATGGCAGGCCTTTAGGGGAAGGGATAAGAAGAAAGGTGGGCAGGTAGGAAGTCCTTGAGTGACAGCACCATCTCCACATGCATGATGTTGGTGCCCTTGCCCTGGTCGATGTCCCTCAAGATCTCACTGCAGTTCACTCTGGCTTACCTTCTTACCTTCTTACCTTCAAGAGCTACACTTGTCTTGTGTATGTTCCATATTTACCCACTGGTTTTTATCAAAGGGATCATGTTTTAAATTGTGCCAATTCCTATTTTCCTTTTAGAGCTTGGCCAAGTCAGGCACAGAGCGGTGGTGTGGCGTGTCCAACAGCTCACAGAAGCTGGGCTCCAATGAGACTCCGGGGTTCTTTTCAGCCTGCTGTAGGAATGGCTGCAAATACCAGCTATGTCAACAAGCCATGTGGCACCCAACCACAAATAGGGTCTCAGGAGAGAGAGGGGAGAGAGAGGAGGGGTGGGCTGAGAGTGGGGAACAGCGTGAAGAGCAGAAGGTAAGGCGTATGTAGGAGGAACACACAGCCGGCTTCCCCCAGGAGGCCTCGTGGGTGGCGCTCTTAGTACCTGTGGATGGAAGATCAACTCCCATTCACACAGAGAGCCAGGCTAATTGCAGAGAGCTCCCTCTCTCCAAGACTGGACTGTATCCCTGGTCTCTGAGGGAGGGAGGAAGAAAGCCAGCTGAGAATAAGCGGAGTGAGACAGGAACAAAGCAGAAGTTTGGTGACACCATCAAGACTGCCAAAGCCTGTCTTTATCTCAGAGCAAATGACCAGCCTACTGTTGTCCCAGCCTCTGGAGGAAGCGCAGTCTTGGGTTCCTTTGGAGCTGGATCTTCCCCAACATGCTCCTTGACCCTGGGACACAGACATCTATGGTGGGTTCCAGGATGAGTTCTGAGCACATGGGGACATAGATGGGTCTTGGAAGGCACAGAGGAAAGGCCCATTGGGGGGTCTGAGATGCAAACACAGGGAGCAAATGTCTCTCTGCTGTCCCACGCACCATGACGTCCACAGCTCTTCTGCGAGCTGCTCTGCATCGTAAGACAGTGGGTGTGCACTGCACTGGAAGCTGCTCTCTGCGAGCCAGAGCCGTCCTGAAAACCCTTGTGCTGGGCAAGGAGTGGAGGTGACAAGTCCCAGACCCTCAGGACCTGGGGGAATCCTAGGGATTCGCTTTTCAGACATCAATGAGCACAACCCCCTCTGCGCCCTGAGGACCCATGCATTCAGGTCACATGCTGGTGCCCGGGAATAAAGGATATGCAACAGATGTGTTCAAGTGGAATGAATTCCAGGCAGCTCCTGGGGAAGTCAACATTCAGGAAATAATGACTAGTTTCGATGACGGCCATGCTGAAAGTGTCCCAGGCAGTCACAGAGCTGTGTCACTCCCACGCCATCACTCAGCTCTTCATGGCCCTGAGATACCGTATGCACAACCTCGCCTCCAAAGGGCTCCGACAGGTTTCCTTTTCTTAAAAAGGATCTCACCTCTCCATAGTTTCCTAGCCTCATTCCAAGAGAGGCAGAAGATTAAAGGTCTACCTTTCAAAAACAACTCCAAGCCTCACACTGGCTATACCAGAGTAGACGATTTCTTTTCTTTGCGGTGGAGAAAGTTTCCCCAAGTTTCTTATCTAAGAAGGAATCCTTAGAAAAGGCAAACCACATACATTCAGTCCCTGGCCACCTCCATTCTTAACTGTTATGTGTCTGGCAAGGCTGCAGAAGCCAAGAGTCCCTTCTTTTCTGTTTACTGTGTCGCTAGGCAAACAAGACATCAATCTCGGTCCCCATTTCTGTGCTGATGGAAAGCCGCACATTGTAAGAATGCCCAGCTGATGTTTATTTGTGATAGTGAAGAGACGAGAACCCACCAGCTATCGTACCCCCCCACACAGATAACCACCCAGGAGGAGCATGGTGGTCCAGGGGGACCACTGAGGGGCTCGCTCACCTCCACTGGGATGATCTACAGGTGCCCAGATTCCCCGAGACCCAAGCTGTCCCCATCATCTGTTTCTCCTCTCCCGGATCCTTTGCTATAAGGTGACATTAGGGTCATCTAGACGTCTGGGGCAGGAACCTGGGCATCATTCTAGACACCTCCTACTCCACCACTGTCTCCACTTAGCAATTGCTCCTGCACACCCCGTCACCACACTCCTCTGTCTCCATGGCCACTACTGTTTGCCTGGGTCCAACTTAATTTTCTTCCCTAATGACTGAAAGATCCTCTGTCTACTGGTCTCCAAATCTGGAATCCCCTTGGCTTCTGCACCTTGGTACATCTTCGGCACTGCTTTCAGGCTCCCTCTCTAATATACAAATCTAGGTGATTCTGCTGCACAAACTCCTGTGATCACTGCAGGATAAAAGACAAACAGGACTGCCCTGGCCAGCCCCTCTCCTCCACTTCCTCCTCATGCTTCCACAATGCTGTTCCCTCTGCACCCAACATCTTTCCTTCATGCCATCCATGCTCTGAGGCTCTGCTCCATGCTCCCTTCCTCTAGGGGCTTTCCTCGACCTCCCCTCTCTTTGAATCAAGACCCTTTTTGGTGCCTGCCCTGACCCAGGGCAAATCTCTAAGACAGCACGGCTTCACAGCAGTGCCCCTGCATTAGGCACCTGCTTGCTGCTCATAGAAGAATGAGCCCCCAGAGCCCACTTGTCCAAGCCCCTCTCTGCAGGTGCTAAAAAACATCACCCACTTGACTGAGGACCAAAGCAAACCTGTAAATCCTCCCTTCTCTCGGCTGCATCACTCATCAACAGCCCTGGCTTTCTGGTAAGTCTTCAGGTGGGTTGATAAGATCATTGAGGATGAGATGCTGATGTGAGGGCAAATGGGCTTCTTCCGCCAGCTGGCCGCTCTGCCTTCTGGGAAATCAGGGAAATCTCCACCCTTCCACCCGAAGCCATCGTAGGAGACAGGGACAAAGAGAGCTTATTCTGCTTGTGTGCTGCCCAGGAAGTAAAGAGCATCATAACTGAGTATCAACTCACAGCTGGAGTTTCTCCCCGGGATAGGTCACAGTGGAAGTTTTGGAAAGAACAAGAACAATTGGATTTAGAAACCACAACCATCATATTTAATTCAAACATGTACAACCAGCAGTCTCCACAGGGAATGGGACAGGGGAGAAATTTCATATTCCAGCTCATTCTCCACTCTTCTTGGGTTAGTTTCAAGTTGAGTGGTTGGATCCCATTTTTCCTTTAGCTTGAGATTGTGCCTAGGCCACTTCAGATGGAAGGGGTGTTCAGTCTGAACTTGGAGCCAATTTAAACCATCAGGGCAGGTTTTTACTATAAAAGGAAAACACAGCAATGTAGGCAGATGATATTACTCTTCTGAGTGTAGGAGCAGGTCTACCTGGGAAAGAACTTAGTGGCAGAGAGCGCTGACCTCAAGAGGAAAAAGAGGGCTAGATCAATGGATGTGAAAAATAAAGAACAAGAGCTTATTGCACATTCTTGACCCAAGAGGTGCATTCCTGAGGGGTGACTGTGGCTAAACCTGGGTTGTCTGTCTAGCTGAACAGGAAGGAAAGGCAGGGAAGGATGAAGATACTATTTCAGCAAAGTATGCACACCTGTTGACCAGAAAGATGAACTCACACCAAACCAAGTTCAACGATGGTGACTTTCTATTCTTTCCCCAAGGTATAATATCCAGGCAGCATGCCTTTCCTGAAGGTTTGCGGATTTTTCCAAACTCTACTACAGACTCCTTGTTCATATAACTGGGGAGTCCAAGGATGGCATCCTGAGGTGTGGATCCTATTCCTGCCAGAGGGCCGAAGGAAAGGATGTAGGTCCAAGTGGAAGATGTGGCTCCTTTTAGAAGCACTTCACTTGGTTTTCATAGGTCATCTCTTAAAGAAGTGTGAATTAATTTGGAAATTTAAACTAGGATCTGCTCTTAGACAAGGAGATCAGATGACAAGCCCTTGGGATTGTGTGCTAAGGGTTGCTTCTTGAACACGCTCCTAGGGTACCATGTTGAATAATCTTTGATGAAGAAGAGTTCTTCGCAGAGGATGTGTCATGGCAGGGCTGGGGAGGGGAACTGGGGCTTAATAGATACTGGCCCCCAGGACACTTTGGAAGGCTAATGTTTCTGGGACATTCCCACCACCTAACATGTCAAGTGAACTGCAAATATACTTTTCCAACAAGTAGAATCCTTCATCATCTATAACGTTCTTTCCTTCAAATTTTCTTTTGCCACTTAACTTGCTAGTGATTTTATACTCTGAATCCTAACTAATTCTTTGGAAGAAGGAAAATTTCAATAGGTCAAAAAAGGTAGGAATACATAGAAAAGGGTCTTTTGTTTTGTCTGGGCACCAAACAGCCCACTTTGCAACCAAAATCTGTGGGCCTATAAAGAAAGTCTTAGATGTGGCAGCGTTGTCTGTGTCATTTTCTGATTAAATAAGCTCTGAGATAATTTTCACCAATTCTAGAGAAAGAAATCAAATAAGAGTATCTATAGGATATTCCTTGAACTTCAGCAAATTTTGGCTTTTATCCTAAAACAAGGATTAGATGTTTATTTGGTTATTCTCTCATTCATGTCTCTTTAAGAATATGTTATCTTTATCCATGTCTTACCTCAAAATGCCTGCTCACAACAAAGATATCTTTACTGATTTTGGGAGAATGTATGCGGCAGACAGAGGGCCTCAAACAAAAGTAAACAAAATAAAGAAAAGCAAAGAAAATAAAAGGAGGAAGAAAGAAAACAAATATGCAGACGCCAGGCAGAGGGAACAGCTTTCTTCCCTAGGAGGGCCTTTTGGAGATCAGCCTCTCCTCAGGCTGACCCTTGTTGTCAGGGCCCAGGCTGAGGCCTCTTCTCACAGGTACCCGTTAGAACCCTCATCTCCGCTGTCTCAGACGTGGGCCACTGGGACAACAACTTCACCTGCAAAGAAGCTGAGGGAAGTTCCCTCAGGCATCCTGGGCTCAGTGATGGATGCCAGGCCAGGCCTACCAAGAGCATGGCTGAGCCTCCCCCTGCCACCTGTGACCTGGGGCTGGGCTTCTGGAAACCTCATAGCATAAACTCAGGAATGGATTTAGCTCATTCTCCAAAACTGTGGAGCAGTGGCCTGGAAACAGTAAAGGAGAAAGAGGACAGGCATCGCCTTCATGCCCAAAAGACCTACTGCATTTGCTGCCTGTCACACACCTGTGAAGACCCATTTGTACCAGAGGAAAACAGCAAGCCACACATAATTCCTCCAGCGCTCAACACAGGCACCACGGTGGATGAGGAAGGGGGTGTGTGGGGCAGGCCTGGATCAAAGGGTGGTGGTTTTCAGCTGCTGACACCAGGTGGGAGGGGACTGGGCACAGAGTCCCCCATGTCAGCGGTGGTCAAGAGCAAGGGAAAGATCAGAGTAGCAAACCCCAGGGCCGTGTTCATCTAGCACAAAGCCATCCCCTCGGCACTGGAGTCCCCAGAGCCGGCCCGGCTCCTGTCTCCCTACTGTCCGTTACTATCCATCTGTCTCTCCCTAAGGACCTGCAGGCCTTAAACAACTGGAGTCTAGGAGTACAGAAGGCACCAAATCCTCTTCCAGCCTATCATGGGTCACTCAGAGATCTCTATCTCTTGATGAGGCTCTTTAGAAGAGAGGAGACCACCTATATGCAAATCCATTACCAGGCTGAGGACACTTTCAGGTCCTCTGGGAGCATTTTCATGGCCCAGGCAGAGAAAAGAGTGGAGAGGTTTCTTTGGATATCAAAGAATAATGGAGAGAGAAAGGAAGTGCTACAATTCTGCACTGAGACATTTAGAAAGGAAAAGAAAAATCAGATCAATGGTTTGTTTTTCTGAATTAGTGACAGGGATCCGGCCACAGTGGTGGGCCAGAGGCTGGGGCAGCTCAGCAGGTTTAGGGACGGATGACCCTGTTCCGGTAGCTGGTGGGATCATGCGCTTGTCTGAGGATTTCGGTGCATTGAAAATGAAGCAGAAGGTGTTGACTCTCTTGCTCTGGTGGAAGGGTTTCCAGGCCCTTTCCTGTAGGGCCAGCCTTTCAGGGAGGGCTTGATGCCACAGGCCTGGGAGAGGGGCTGGGCTCTTCCTCTCTTTCGCTGACTATCTCCTCTGTGTAGCCTTCTAACTGCGAACAAAGGGAGGGACTGCATGGTCCCTCAGTAGTCACTCACCTTTCATACCACTACCTTCTTCTTGGAATGTGTTACGAGCAGTGGTCTGATCTTCTAAGTGTTCACTCCCACCACTTCCTGAAGAGGCTACACTGCTTTGTGGAGACAGGGGGGCATGATCGGAAGGGAGGCACTGGGGTCCTCTAGCTCGTAAGTCCTCATGAGACATCCATCCATGTCCTAGAGGCTGGTTTGGCACATTCATGGGTGGGGTAAGGGACACAGATCGTTTCAAAGGGCTGTGGTGTGCCTGGCCTGAGAGAACTGAAAAAAAAAATAAAATGAAATAGGTTATTGCCCCCCCTTTAGCCTGGGACGCAGAATCCACAGTACCTTTGCACCCTGTGGTCCCCTGACTGCCTTCCGACTCTGCCCGTGGGCACAGTGGGTGGAACGCAGGCCTGGCAGGGTCTTTCCCTTAAACAGGATGCTGTGTGGACCTCTTGGTGGGCCACACCTATGTGACCCACACACCTGGCTTGGCCTGTGTGTGGTGTGCATTTGGTTTCAGTTCTAACTCTGGAGATGGGGATTTGGAGCAATGGGTCCAGGCGCCCCTGGCAAAGTGGCTGTCTGCCAAAGTGAAGAGAACATGCTGGACATTTTTTTCCTTTTAAGCACAAACTCTGACATTACTGGTGTATTAGGGAGGACTTCCTGAAGGGTGGCAGGCTGGTTGCCATTCAGGAGACATGGGAGGCTGAACTAGGAGGAGATGAGTTCACCCTTCTGATTAGGAATCAGGGGACTATTAGCTCTGAAGGGTGGCACCAGCTCAGTGAGGGGCCCCTGCACTAACGTGACCTCAGGGTGGGGGACACCAGCAGCTGCGAGTGAAAGGCCCAATTCTTTCCCTTGGCCTCCTAGATTCATGCCAAGCTGTATACTGCAAACAGTTTCAGGTAACAAGGCTTTCCATTGAGAAGCCCATGGGGCTCTCAGTTGGCTGGGGATGGGTTTTACCAGCATGTTCAGCCCTTCCACAGAGGGCAACATCTGCACAGCCCCGGTCTTTAATTTATTTCCCAGAAAACTAGGAAATAGCAACAAAACTCACATAACTAGCCAAATTGAATTGAAGGCATTCAAAGGAGGTATTTAACTGACATCAACGCCCAGGGAGCCAAGGTTACCCTTGGTTGGTTTTTCTGGGTGTGTAAAGTGACAACTTCACAAAATAAGTCTATTCATAACATTCTCTCAGTGCCAGTTCCTGACAGGTCTGGTTTATTTTGACTGCTGCTGTACTAGCATGGGATTAAGCCACATGCATTTTAAAACATTTTTCAGGGAAGCCATTCAATTCTGTCTCAGGCTCTATCCCTTCCAGGGAGACATTTGCTCTCCCAAATTTGGATTACTGTTTTTCTGGCATTGACCTTTCTGTGTTTTTCAGTAGGTAGACCAGATATCCTAATGGCAAGGGGTCCTGCCTTTTTGCAAAAGCTGCATTTCTTCTGGGCCAGCACCCCGAGAAAGGCCTGGGCTGCTGATCACTGTGGCCCCATTTAAAAGATAAAGACCAGAGCTGAAAGGTGTTACGAAAAAGTCTAACTGGGCTGTAGTGGGGCGGGTGTGTGTGTGTGTGTGTGTGTGTGTGTGCTGCTGACAGCACTCAGTGACCAGGTTCCCATGTGGTCACCATTTCCATCTGGCCAGAGGGGCAGCCCTAGTGGGCATGATCCGAAGCACTGCAAACTTCTTCGTTAACAAAAAAGGAGAAGAAAAGGGGCTGCCGGGTTTAGTATTTGTAACTCGAGAAATTTCTAATTTGAGTAAATTTTATCCAAGGCAAGGTACTATCATCTACCTTAAAAAATATGCAAAGGGGACATTGTTTTTTTAAAAATGACCTCAAACAACTTGCATTTTTGCTAAATAGATGAGGGAAGAAATTCATTTAATAGGCTCCCTGGAAAATGCACTGCTATCTGATTGGAATAGATTAGCATGGGGAAAAAGAAGAGAAAGAAAAATAAATAAATAAGTAAAAAGGAAGTAGCAACAAAAATGAAGAGGGAAGCCAACAGGAAGAAAAGCCAGACATTCAGAAAATCCACTTCATGCCCACCTCCGTGTTTATATAAAATCAGGCAGACTTGTCTAGGGCTGGGCTGAGCAGGGGACATTTCAGTTGGGACAGCTCAGCTTCCTGGCACCTCTGTGACCATTTCAGAGAGGTAGGGCCTCTGATCGAGGCCAGCTGGGTGTGTCCCAAGTGGAAATGGGGTTCCTCTTCCATCCTCCAGCTGGGATTAGAGCCTGAACCCGTACAATTGGCTTTGGGAAAGAGGGCCCACAGCTCTGAGCTGGTGGAGACCTCAGTACTGGCTGGCTGCAGGCACTACCTGAAGCACTAATTAACTGACAGCCATGGGTGGTTACAGCTAGGATGCTGAGAATAATATTAGATAGACATAGATAGCCACTAAATTCCATTAGTGGATATAGCCAGTTTTCTTCTTTCCACCTAAAAATTTCTTAAAATCACCCTTTCCCGCTACCACTGAAGCACGTCTTTTGGGAGGCTGCCAGAATTCCAGGACACTGCTGGCTACTGAACTTTGAAACTAAATATTTATCTAACTTAATGGGCTTACAGAGATTGTCACATAAGGACCTACCTACATGTGTCAGGTACAACTTTTTAAAAAAACATTTTCCTGAGTCACAGGGCATAGGGCACGAACTTGACATCTGCCTCTAAAAACAACCGAAAAAGGGCTGGGGATTTAGCTCAGTGGTTCCGCCACCTGCCTTGCAATAGCAAGGACCGGAGTTCGATCCCCGGTACAAAAAAAAAAAAAAAAAATCAATTGTATCTGAGGTGCCAGGGCTATTTCTCAGACTTTTTATCAAAAGCTCCACCTCCTCTATATGACAGTAGAAGCCTTTTGGGGCCTACAGCTGTCACCAAACTCAGGACTATCTCTCTCAGAACCACCCTTCGAGAACAACCATACCTGGCTCCGTGCTTCTGATCTGCAGTGAAGTTTTAGAGCCCGGCTGAGCATCACACCTGAACCAAAGTAAAGTCACGCAGGCAGATGCCTCATTCCTCCAAAAAGAACCGAGGACCACGGGCAGCACAGGTTGTCCTCCTGAGGGGAGGAGACTACGACAGGCGACAGGTGCCCTGCCAACAGTGCCACTTCACATGAAGACAGCAGTGAGCACAAAGCTGATTTTGGTGTCACCTCTTGTTCTGGAGTGATTTGTTTTTATAGCAAGCAGCAGAAGGAATAATAACTAGCATGGGTGGAAGAGGTTACAAGAAAATGGGCCACACAGTTGTGCAGCTAATGAGGTGGCCAGAGGTCAGGTACCAATGCCCATGGTCATCCCACTGCTGCCTTTTATTTTTCTTAAACACATCTGAAGTGATGACACATAGGAGAAGAGGTGGACATCTGGGGGGAAAAAATCCCTATGAGTCAGGAGTGAAAAGTAGTAAAAACAGACTTGAGAGAAGCTTTTTAGCTGTGGAAGCTGCCCCAGAATGATTCTGGCCAGAGGCTTTTGAATGCTCCTGCTTGTTGACTCCTGTGTTGTCACCAACAGCTAATGATTCCTTCAGGTGTCAGCTGCCCACAGTAATGTTCAGTGCTGCCGAGTTAAGGACACATTTACAGACTCGCCAGAGATCAGAAATGGGCAAGCAGAACTGAGGTTCTAAGTTTGTACTACGTGTTTGATCATTACCGTAGCGTGGCTGGAGGGACAGCATATTTCAGGATGGATTCATTATATTCAAAATCATACTGAGCATTTCCCAGGGGAGCAAAATTGTGTCTCTTTTGCTCTTGAACAAATGAAACTACTAATACTTAGTACTGGGTATCGTTCAATCTCTATGAGAAATTTTAGGTCTCTCTCTATGTAGGTCTCCATACCTATATCATTAGGAAAAAACATATATATATCATTAGGACTTTACAGTTTTAGGGAACATTTATAAATTCAAGTGACCCAAAAGTACACAATAAGTATTAAGTCTAGCTGAAATATGAAAAAAACAGCCAAAAATAATCTTGCTATGGCAGCTGAACAGTGAGTGGGGCAGAAATATAAAGGGTCTTAAATCTAACCTTATGATTTCTTCTTATTTTTATCTCCCAGCATGTTTAATGAGACCCCTTTCAGTACATTTTTAGGGAACATATGATGCCTGGCTCTGGATCCTGTTCTTTTAAGTATTTTCGTAAAAGCCTGGAATTCAAATTGCATTCTCATTTCCCCTGACCAAAGTTGCTTTGATTTTTAATTGTTGAGATAAGATTCAGACAGATTTTTCAGGATACTTAGTACTCTTTGAAGAAAATTAAGTAGAACTACCTTCTAATATGGGAAATAGCAGGGTTTGTAGATAAAGGGAGGTTTAGGAGGCACGACCAACTATTTCCTTGGTTCACTGGCAGGTTATCTCGCTCTGAAGGAGTGACTTACAGAGGCAAACAGTCTGCCTCTTGCACCAAAATTTGATCCAAACTAACATTACTGAGATCTTTCAAAGATACACTGCATACTTCTGTGCTCTTCTTAAATGTACACATTGAATGCAATTTGTGCTTTAAAAATGATCAGTGTAAATTCTTCACACTTAGACTTAGAAGCCTCCTGAAAGAATTTAATTTAGTAATTTCTAAACTGTGAGCTGTGAGCTCCAGGGTAGCAAAGACCTGAAAATCCTTGTGTACACCAAGCCTTGTTAGTTGGAAGAAATACTGTACTATGAATGAATTTTATGTGTACGCAGACAATATTGGCGTTCATAGGAGATAAATTTAAATTAATGTAAATTAAGATCTATGCTAAAGGCACAGACATTTTTAAATTGGCAGATTTGATGTATGATTGTTTGAATGGGGATCCCACGTCTTAAATATGGACCATCAACTCACCTGGTCCTTATGTGCTATTGACCGAGTGCCCTCTCGTGTGACAGATGACCGCTGCTCTGTGCGGTCTTTATGATGGGATGTTGGGAAACTCAGGACCGCACATGCTGGCATCCCCGCGCAGACAGGCTCTGTGCCATCTCTGAGCTACACTGTGTGTTCCCATGTGATTTTAGCTTTAATGTTTTATTATAGATTCTAGAATCTGGGCTGCTGAAACTGTTAGAAATTTGATGTTCTTTTGAGTACAGGCATTACATATTCCTAGATTCTTTTTTTTTTTTTTTGGTACCAGGGATTGAACTCTGGTCCTTGCGCTTGCAAGGCAGGTGCCGGAACCACTGAGCTAAATCCCCAGCCCATATT